AGGAGAGCTCCACCGGAGAACCTCAGGAGCCTGGTAGAAGCCAAGCGAACAACTCCTTAATAACCTGACTTCAGAAACTTCGGAATACTTACTGGGAAGAGTTCAAGACGACACCCTCAACAAGATGGGCGACTTGTCCGGCCTCGGAAGACATTGAAAAGTCCCTAAAGACCCCCTCCAAGGAATTAATAGACGCGTACCACGCATCATGCGCGATGTCAATAACTAGGAAGATGACAAAGCCACCGTGGTGGAATAAGGACCTCTTGCTCCGACGCAGTAACCTCAGGGAATTTTTTAAAATCGCAAAACAAGCAAAAGATTTTATAATTAACTAGCTGTACCCTGCCACGTTTCTCTGTGGCATATTATGGTTAAGAGGGCACTTCTGAATACATCAAGGTTCTGGCAAAATCATCTTCCTGGCATAAGGTGAAGAAGGCAGTCAGAGTTGTCGCTGGCGGATTCAGGACTCTTTCTTGCACATTTCTTTCTGTGAAATAGACACGTTGACCATTCTCCAAATGGACTGCCAAGTGAACTAAAGCTGGATAGCGTTCATGAATGGGGAACGAAAAAATTCTCCATGCAGCCTCGTTGCTGCTTATGTATCTTCCAGCCTGGTATTGAGATATTTCATCGACAACTCGTACTGCATTGTTGTCACCATTTTCTGCCTGAACACCAAAAACTGCCATATCGTTGCCTTTATTCACGTACTTGCAGATATATTTAATCGATTTCACGGAATTGCAATATTCTACGTTGATGTGCGCTTTGTATGATTTTGACAATAGTGGTGAGTATGGAACCACCCAACGATTGTCTACCTCAATATCACCAATTCTCATGTTTAAATTTGCCGAAGTCCCTCCATCTTCAGTTGACCGTCTCCCATACAGAGGATATCCATCGTCCCCTGTTACGGTGTTGGCTGTAAATGCTCGACGATATCGCTTGGAACACTTCCCGTCTACCATGCATGGTGAACATTTGAGGTTACCACATGGTTGAGGGTACCACATGGGCCATGGATCATGTTCTTGATGACAACTTCATCCGTATCAACCTCGGCCCGTGGAATCTCAGCACATATAACATCGTCGATTTTATCTGGAGTAATTTTATCATACAGCCAAATCAGTATGTGCGCATGCGGCAATCCTCTCTTCTGCCATTCTACTGAATACATCCAGCACCGCACAGATCCAAAAACTCCATGTTTCACATTGAAATCCATCAGTGACTTGAACTTTTGTCTGAAAACACGGGCTATGATGTCATGCCTATCTCTATACGATTGTCCAGGAAATAACAGCTGTACTATCTCGTCCCAAGCTGGATTGCATGTGAAGGTGATAAATAAGTCTGGACGGCCGTGGCAGCGAACATATGCCATGGCATTTTGAGCATATTCATGCATGTGGCGTGGACTACCTATGTATGAGGATGGCAAAATCGTGAGCTTTCCAACGTTGGTTGTATTACGGTCATTCATCACAGCATCCCGCATATGTATATATTCATCGGACCGAAGTTTCGTCTGATTCAATCGGAGGAACAGCAAACGTTCTGTTTAAATTTTTGCATGCATATCGACAATGTATTGATGAAACAACTGACGACATTTCAATATATGATTGCAATCGGTCCTCCGAACCATTAACCTGTATGAGTAAAAGTTCATCGCGCTGCACTTTTTATTCGTTTCTACACCATTGACTGGATCTATCATCCCAGAAGATTAGTGGATACTGCAAAGCATCGTAACAACGGTGAGTTTCTACGACGTATACCAATCGATCGTTTCGTCGATGGAGAACAATATCTCGAGGTTGAAACTGATCCCCGACTATGACAATTGCCACTTCGTCTATAGTTGGAGCATTATATCTCCTGATCTGTTCTCCAGCAGGCGTTTTGTCTGCATGAATGACAATTTTATGGGTATCCGAAGGCATCATATCGATTGCTGTTTTGAATAAACGCACCAAATTGTTCCGTTCGTGAAAAAGCTTCTGTAGCTGCGAAATAATGTGCCTCTTCAGCGTATTTAGGTATTGATTCCATAACGTGCATCTACTTCATTTCCATCATCACCAAGAAGAAGAAATTTGTGTTCGCTGTCTGGGAACGGAAGCAGGGAACCGGCTTTATGATAGATTTGTCCTTTGATTTTAAAAGTTGGCATGAATTGCGCAGTTATAATTTCCGCACCAAATGACGTCATTTGAAAGCAAGAGTTTTATTTCCTAATGTTCGACAGGAAATGCTTCGATTCTGCAGTAGATCCAGCGAATAGAGAGTGCAGAGGCTATGGTGGTGTTTCAAGTTGAGGCAATTCCACTTTCCCGGAAGCGCAACACATTCGATTCGAGCTGTATTCAATAGTTGGATTATATCTAAATGCAAGACGATTGTACTGCAGGTTTTGATCTTCTACAAGCTGTAAACGCGCTTCAGCTACCCTTGCCCTGTCGCGTTCATTATTTTGAGAGTGAATCAAATCGATTGCTGCAGAACGCGACTGCCTAACTCTCAATCGTTTTCTCTCAAGCCTATCTGCTCGTCTTTCTGCTGATTCCTCGTTACTTACTTACTTACTTACTGAACTTAAGCAAAAAAATAAAATTTTTTTCTCCAATTCCTTATTTCAATTTTTTTTAATGTTTGACAGGAAATGCTTTGATTCAGCTGGCTGCCTGTAGAGGGCGCAGCAGTAGAAGCACGGGGAAACGCGAAAAAAGTGATATATTCGCAAATGCAGATAAGCTATAAACATTAAAAGTAGACAATAACCGAGCTGGAACCTCAACGCATGTTGTCTAAAAATTTGGGCTTAAACGGTTCAGAACTTTTCAACTTTCTTCTTTCAATATGTTTTGAATGTTTGACAGGAAATGCTTTGATTCAGCTGGCTGCCTGTAGAGGGCGCAGCAGTAGGGGCATGGGGAAACGCTAAAAAAATTGATATATTTGCAACCGCAGATAAGCTATCAACATCAAAAGTAGACAATAACCGAGCTGGAACCTCAACGCATGTTGTGTAAAAATTTGGGCTTAAACGGTTCAAAACTTTTCAAGTCTATGAAGGATGTAGACACGAACAGAGCATTTTTATATATATAGATGAAGAATACAAAATTCTATTGAGGGATAACAAGAAATACACAAGACGCAAAGAAAATCTTGGATAAACTTCTGCTCCAATATAGATTTGGCCCCAGATAAATCTAGATACAGGAAGTTGTTATCGAAGCAGAGACGAAGGACAGTAAACTGATGGCAGTGATGAGACACATGTTTCACCGATACCAGGTGATACAGGTGACCAAATAAGCGGGCTATATCCCTAACCACTCGAAACCATAGTAAGAATTGATAGCCTAGATATCCACGCGCAACTGACTGCAAAAATGTCTGCACAACGCCTAGTAGCAGCAGGAAATATGTCGCTACTAGGTAGATTACGTTGATTACGTGTTGCTTCCAACTTCTATTATCTATGTGAGAAATAGAATTGGAGAATTTATGACTTGCCGAGCAATCTTAGACTCGGCGTCTCAGTTAAACTTCTAACTTCTTGCCTAGCGAACCAGTTAAATTTAAGTCATAGAAAATCGCATAAACTATTCTCTGGGATTGGTGAATATTCCATGAATTCCGATAAGGCAGTCGACATTCTAGCGCAATCCAGGGATGCAAGCTAACGTGCCTCATTCTCCGCGGTCTTGACTCATGGTATCATCCATTATCAGCCCTAGTTCAATATAAATGCAACATCATGGACAATTCCGCAAAATATATCGCTCGATGATCCTTATATTAACCGATCAGAACGAATAGATCTTATAATTGGTACTTGCCTCTTTTTCGAAATAATTGCTACGGGCCAAATTCAATTGGATAGCGCGTTGCCAACACTTCAGAACATCAAACTTAGTTGGATCGTGTCTGGAGGGCTGCCGAGTGCGTCAACTCATAAGTCTGTGATAGCTGCCATCATCAAGGATCCTAGTTATCATTCTGATGATGAAACAGCCAGCTGCCTTCTTGGCTATAAGAGCCATGCATCAGTTCCCTTATGATGAGGAGGAATCATTCCCGGTTGCAGCCAAAAGTGTTCGTAGAGATTTCCATGTGGATGATTTAATTCCGGTGCTGATTCAGTTGGAGAGGTGAGATAAATTTGTAGCCAGGTGAAGAAACTACTAGTCGCGAGGGCACTTTCCAATACGCGTGCCCCTCACTTCGAAGTTTTATGGGTGGCGGCGGCCAAGGCGGCCATTACATCGATGAAATGGCAGTTTGGGCGCATAGAGAAAATCATTCCTGGCAGGGACGGCGGCATCAGAGTTGCCATGGTCCGTACTGCTACGGAAAAGTATGGGAAATATGTTCGGAGCAGACCGCTCGCAACAATCATGCGCGCATCGTCCTCTTCTTTATCTATTGCTCTCTCTCTTCTGCCGCCTTATCTATTAAGCTAAACTACATTGTAAGCTCGCTAATATAAAATTGAAGACAAGCGTCCGATCCGACGAGATTAAAAAAAAGACACAAATACGGCATTAAAACTAACCTATCGTGCATTAATTAGTTATTGCCAAAGGGTGGCAAATTCGTTGTCTCTCCACAAACAATCGTGTTAAACCAGTTTATTGGCCAGGTTCCGACGGAATACCTACCTGTGTGATTTGGTATATTATCATTAAAAATCTTCCATTCATTCGTTATTCCTCTACACAAAAAAAAATATCGGAGGACAAGGACAGGCCATCCCAAAACTTTTCGAAAATGTCATTACTTCACATTTCCAGGACCTGTGTAGATCAAATACGAGATGTAGTGTTTTCTGAATTTAGTCTTACAGATCAACTAATTCAACTCTTATGCTGTCTATTTTTTTCGTGTTTCTTGATTTCAATAAATTTCATAAAACATAAGTATCATAAATTAAATTCTAACATTACATTAAATTTTATAATATATAATTACAGATAAAATTCCGGCTCGTTTAGTGCTATATTTTTTGTCGTGGTCTGGCTTTCTGGTCTCTTTTATGATGCGAAATGATATGAACTTTGCACTGGTCGCAATGATTTCAAATGATAATTCAACACATAACCAATCTGTAATCGGATCGCAATCGCAATCGCAACCAGTTTTGGTAATATTATTCAAATTAAAGTACTTTTGACATATATATAATCTTATGTTTTTAGCGTGGTGGTACTGAAGAACAAACATCTATAGTTAAATCCGTCATAATAAGTTCGTTCTATTGGTGTTACGTATTATCCCAGGTGGCTGGTGGAGTGGCCACAGAAATGTTTGGAACTAAGTGCGTATTTGGATGGTCACAGTTAGCAACAGCTTTATGTAGTATACTAATGCCGTTAGCAGCGCAATTACATTACATAGCTGTTATTGTTTTAAGATCCATTCAGGGATTTGCCTCTGGGTTGACATGGCCTGCAATGTATGCAATAGTTGGCTATTGGATTCCACTTACCGAACGATCACGATTTATGTCAAGTTTTCAGGGTTTTAGTATAGGTATTGGCCTAACTTACCCGTTGTGTGGGTTTATTTTATCAGAATTCGGATGGCCCTATGTTTTTTATACAACCGGCACCTTTGGTATTGGGTGGTGTTTATTATGGTATTTTCTAGCATACAATACACCTCGTGAACATCCACGCATAACTAAAGAAGAGTTAAATTACATAGAGCTAAACGTATGTAATGAAGTTAAAAAATTAAATAGAGTAAAAGTGCCTTGGCTGCAGATATTTCGTTCCTTACCAGCTTGGGCGATAGCTATTACAACATTTGGACGAATATTTATTCATTATATTTTCATTGTAAATGGTCCTACATTTATGGGAAACGTTTTAAAGTTTAATTTTGAAACAAATGGTTTTCTTTCTGGTATGCCATTTATTGGCTCATATATTTCATCAGTTTTTTTTTGTTATGTTGCTGATAAATTGTTACTCTACAAAGTTTTATGCCTTACTAATGTAAGAAAAGTATTTACAGCCCTCTCACAAATTATTCCAGGAATATTAATATATTTCATCGGCCACATAGATAATGTACACATATTGTTAACAGTATGGTTTATAGCGGTTATATTTATAACAGCATCCTATGCTGGAGCAATGGCTAATATAATTGATATAGCGCCAAACTATGGACATTCAGCTGCAGTTCTGGCATTTTGCCAAACAATACATATGTCAGCGTCATTTATTTCTCCGTTGACGGCTGGATTTATTGTAACACAAGAGGTAAAGTATACACCTTAGTTTTCTTACTAATAAGTATTATGTAAGAATATATATTTTTAGAAATAGATATTAAACAAAAAGTTATTTAATTTGTTCCCCTTTTATTCCACATATATTCACAGTAGTTGAATACTTACTTATGTATTCTTAAGCTTACATAGAACGCCAAACCAGTTTATCTGGCTTGCACCACAGTGTTGGTTTTTTCAACTGGTCACTGACAGAGCATATTTTTGTTTATTCCATACAGCTTCCTTATCTTGATTATTATAAGAAAAGGAGAATGAAGGGATCCTGATTGTCTGACTTTGATGTTAATTTTTTTTCTCTTTTTCACTGTATTGCGTTTAACATAACTCTGATCTTCTGCGTATGGTTAACAAAAGAAAAATATGCAATGTCGGCACAATGTAAAGCGTTAGAAAAGATTCAGAAGCTTTAGTTTTAAATTAAATCGATGTCGTCTGTGCAAAACGATTGCGAACAAACAACTAAAGCTGTTTGCTTACTTATTAGTGGTACTGATCAAGTACAAACTAAAATTTATTTACAATTTAAATGAAAAAGCCATTCTTCGAAGTATAGTGGTTTCAAGGCTCCCTAGAATCCTCGTTGCCTGCGCGTATGATCCAGAGTCAGTTTTGATGACTGCGTCTTGATTAACGCGTCTTCGCTTGAGACATTGTTCTCTGTAGTGCCAGATTGTATGTTTCTCTCATGAAAACGCCTCTTGTTTTGCCTTTGGAGAAACGCTAAATAGCTTGGTTTCATTTGCGTTCCATCGATGTTCAGGAATCAGTTATGGATCAGTAATCTGGGATTAAGTGTGTTCCTCTGAATGCTCATGACTCATTACGCCGTGTTAAAAATAATCGGCTGGAACATGTAGTTATCGTCCAACTTCCTGCCAACATTCATTTGATATTCCTTATATGATAATTGAAATGGACAACTTTACGTTTACCTGAGAAACAGCTCGGATATTCTCAAATAATTTTTCTCCTTAAATTGTCCTAGCATATGTTTTTGACAAGATACTCCATCAAATAATTTGTTAATTAATGGGCGCCTCTTTTTTTTTAAAAGGCAGGTGTCAAATTTATTTTGTCCATCACAAAAATTACAGCACTGCGCACTGCATTCGTGGCTTCAATAATACAAAAAGAAATATTTAATAATTAAAAAACAAGAAAGAAAGCTAACTTCGGCACGTCGAAGTTTATACCCTTGCAGATAGACTTTTATGACTAGGAATCCATACAATATAAATTATATATATTTGTGTTAAAAAACAATGAAGTAATATCTGCTTTCATTTCATTCACCTATAATTATTATATTAACAGTTTTACATTCACAGATTTGCTTTTTTCCTCTACATCTAACGATCGTTTGTATGGAACATATTTGATATAATCGTCCGAATTTTGTTAAATTTGACACAAAATTTAAGATTTATATAAAATGGCTATATCTCAACTTTGATGAAAATCTGTTGAAAACTGAATAAGTTCGAATTTTTAATTGTATTAATTTCTCGATCGTTCCTATGGGAGGTATATGATAAAGTTGTCCGATTTTCATAAAATTTTACACAAAATTGTAGAATAATATGAAATGGCTATATCTTAAATTTGATGATGCATCTCCGGATGCACCCCACGCTTTAAACTCTGAGTTTAGTGATCTTGTTTATAATTATATACTATTGCTCTGATTTGAATAATTGTAGAATAATATGAAATAGTTATATCTTAAATTTGATGATGCATCTCCGGATGCACCCCACGCTTTAAACTCTGAGTTTAGTGATCTTGTTTATAATTATTTACTATTGCTCTGATTTGAATAATTGTAGAATAATATGAAATGGCTATATCTTAAATTTGATGATGCATCTCCGGATGCACCCCACGCTTTTAACTCTGAATTTAGTGATCTTGTTTATAATTATTTACTATTGCTCTGATTTGAATATTTGTAGAATAATATGAAATGGCTATATCTTAAATTTGATGATGCATTTCCGGATGCACCCCACGCTTTTAACCCTGAATTTAGTGATCTTGTTTATAATTATATACTATTGCTCTGATTTTAATAAATTAGTTTGTAATTATAGATTATTTTCTTCTTTTTAGTTCGGTTATTTATAAAAGCGTGTTTTTTTAGTTTTTTTTACCCTTGCAGGGTATTTTAATTTCAGTCAGAATTTTTCAACGCACTGAAGGAGGCATCTCCGAATATATAAAATTAATTTATTCTTGATCAGAATCAACAGCCGAGTCGATCTAGCCATGTCCGTCTGTCCGTCTGTCCGTTTCTACGCAAACTAGTCTCTCTGTTTTGAAGCTATCTGAATCAAACTTTGCAGTTAGTCTTCTATATACTCTTACTCGTATATATGTCGGAACGGGCAGGATCGGACGACTATATCATATAACTGCCATAGGAATGATCGGAAAATTTTTACATAAAAATTATAACATTTTCAGTTTTCAACAGAATTTGAGATATTGCCATTTTATTTTAATTTACATTTTTGTGTAAAATTTTATGAAAATTGGACTACTATATCCTATTGATCCCATAAGAACGATCGAGAAATTATTACAATTAAAAATTATAACTTTTTTAGTTTTCAACAGATTTTGATGGAATTTGAGATATAGCAGTTTTATGTTACTTTACAATTTTATGTTAAATTTTATGATTGATCCCATAGGAACGATCGAGAAATTAATACAATTAAAAACATGAAAGGAAGCTAACTTCGGCACGCCGCAGTCTATATACCCTTGTAGATAGTACTTCGATGACTTGGAATCCATACAATATAAAGTATATATATTTATGCTCAAAAAAAATGAAGTAATACCTGCTTTCATTTCTTAACCTATACATATTATATTAACAGTTTTACATTCACAGATTTGCTTTTTTCCTCTACATCTAACGATCGTTTGTATGGAACCTATATGATATAATCGTCCGAATTTTGTTAACCAAATTTAAGACTAATATAAAATGGCTATATCTCAACTTTGATGAAAATCTGTTGAAAACTGAAAAAGTTCGAATTTTTAATTGTATTAATTTCTCGATCGTTCCTATGGGAGGTATATGATATAGTTGTCAGATTTCCATAAAATTTTACACGAAATTGTAGAACAATATGAAATGGCTATATCTTAAATTTGATGATGCATCTGCGGATGCACCCCACGGCTTAAACTCTGAGTTTAGTGATCTTGTTTATAATTATTTACTATTGCTCTGATTTGAATAATTGTAGAATAATATGAAATGGCTATATCTTAAATTTGATAATGCATCTCCGGATGCACCCCACGCTTTTAACTCTGAATTTAGTGATCTTGTTTATAATTATATACTATTGCTCTGATTTTAACAAAGTAGTTTGTAATTATAGATTATTTTCTTCTTTTTAGTTCGGTTATTTATAAAAGCTTGTTTTTTTTAGTTTTTTATACCCTTGCAGGGTATTTTAATTTCAGTCAGAATTTTTCAACGCACTGAAGAAGGCATCTCCGAATATATAAAATAAATTTATTCTTGATCAGAATCAACAGCCGAGTCGATCTAGCCATGTCCGTCTGTCCGTTTCTACGCAAACTAGTCTCTCTGTTTTGAAGCTATCTGAATCAAACTTTGCAGTTAGTCTTCTATATACTCTTACTCGTATATATGTCGGAACGGGCAGGATCGGACGACTATATCATATAACTGCCATAGGAATGATCGGAAAATTTTTACATAAAAATTATAACATTTTCAGTTTTCAACAGAATTTGAGATATTGCCATTTTATTTTAATTTACATTTTTGTGTAAAATTTTATGAAAATTGGACTACTATATCCTATTGATCCCATAAGAACGATCGAGAAATTATTACAATTAAAAATTATAACTTTTTTAGTTTTCAACAGATTTTGATGGAATTTGAGATATAGCAGTTTTATGTTACTTTACAATTTTATGTTAAATTTATGATTGATCCCATAGGAACGATCGAGAAATTAATACAATTAAAACATGAAAGGAAGCTAACTTCGGCACGCCGCAGTCTATATACCCTTGTAGATAGTACTTCGATGACTTGGAATCCATACAATATAAAGTATATATATTTATGCTCAAAAAAAAATGAAGTAATACCTGCTTTCATTTCTTAACCTATACATATTATATTAACAGTTTTACATTCACAGATTTGCTTTTTTCCTCTACATCTAACGATCGTTTGTATGGAACCTATATGATATAATCGTCCGAATTTTGTTAACCAAATTTAAGACTAATATAAAATGGCTATATCTCAACTTTGATGAAAATCTGTTGAAAACTGAAAAAGTTCGAATTTTTAATTGTATTAATTTCTCGATCGTTCCTATGGGAGGTATATGATATAGTTGTCAGATTTCCATAAAATTTTACACGAAATTGTAGAACAATATGAAATGGCTATATCTTAAATTTGATGATGCATCTGCGGATGCACCCCACGGCTTAAACTCTGAGTTTAGTGATCTTGTTTATAATTATTTACTATTGCTCTGATTTGAATAATTGTAGAATAATATGAAATGGCTATATCTTAAATTTGATAATGCATCTCCGGATGCACCCCACGCTTTTAACTCTGAATTTAGTGATCTTGTTTATAATTATATACTATTGCTCTGATTTTAACAAAGTAGTTTGTAATTATAGATTATTTTCTTCTTTTTAGTTCGGTTATTTATAAAAGCTTGTTTTTTTTAGTTTTTTATACCCTTGCAGGGTATTTTAATTTCAGTCAGAATTTTTCAACGCACTGAAGAAGGCATCTCCGAATATATAAAATAAATTTATTCTTGATCAGAATCAACAGCCGAGTCGATCTAGCCATGTCCGTCTGTCCGTCTGTCCGTTTCTACGCAAACTAGTCTCTCTGTTTTGAAGCTATCTGAATCAAACTTTGCAGTTAGTCTTCTA